CCAGATTGTAGAAGATGGCTCCTGTAGAATTACACCTCCCAGGACCACAGATGGGTGCCGCGAGGGCTGCCAGCCAGAGCTTCCTGCCCCTGCCCCTACAGTCGTGTGTCTCCAAGCTTTGCCTCAGGCTCACTAGTAATTATAAAGTATAGAGAGATAATATTATGGTTAATAAAGTATAAGTCATTAAAAACCATTTCTAATTTCAAAGTAGCTCTTTTGCCATTATGTATTTTCTCCATCAAAAATTAGTTGTTCAAGGTTATGCAACTAATTAGTGGCAGAGTCCTTGAAAGCCATACAGAGAAATTTGCACTTGATCTAGTAGGCAGTGCTCAGTTAATAAGTCAATTAACAAATAAGTGTCTACTAAATACAAGGTACAGAGAAGTACAAAGATTCTTTGAGCAGTGAGCTCTATGTATTTTTTAATTTTAAATTTTTATTGAAGTATAGGATACATAAAGAAAAGTGTACCTAATCCAAGTATATAGTTTGACAAAATTTCCCAGACTAATCATACTCATGTATCCCAGATCAAGAGACAATATTACCAGGGGCTCAGAAGCCCAGTACTGCCCCTTCTAGTGTAGTCTCCACTGTAGATAAAAATTTGATAGTTATTTTATTTGCTAAGTTTTCTGTGAACTTATGAGTTTATTTTTTACATGTGTTTCAGTAGATCTGTCATGCTATCAATAATTTTTTCAAAGCTCAAATAATCTATTAGTTGTTGATTTTTTTTTTTTTTAGATACCCCTCTTGGCCGTTGGACTGCTTGGTCTATAGGTATGGTACATGGGAGTCTTGTAGTCTCTCTCAGTCTCATGGATCCTTTGTTACTTTCTTCTGTGGTTTACTGCCCATGAGACTCAGATTTTGTGAGTGTTTGTATGCCCCCAAAATACCTGTCTTTTACCCTCCAACATGAATATCAGATTGAAATTATTTTCAGGGAGAATTTTGAAGGCATTGATCTGTTTTTTTCCAGCTTTCAATGTTGTTGGGAAATCCAGAGCTTTCCGAATTCCTGATCCTTTGTATGTGATGTGATTCTTCTCCAGGGCTTTTTTTTTTTCCTTTTTATCTTTTTTACTGACTGGTAAAGGGATCGCAACCCTCGGTGTCACGCCCACACCGGGGACCGGCAACGGGATCGCAACCCTCGG